CGTGCATGCTGAGAAAGGGACAGAGAGACCAGAGAGAGAGAGACCAAAGTAAGTGCATGTGTTCGGATATGGCCTTTTCTTCAAAACACTGCACTCTTGGAGATGTGTTCGCGTACGATGCTGCCAAGTTACTCCAGGTTGTGCCGGGGTCGCACCTTTGCAACTACCATCAGCTATACCGTTTCCTCCAGCAAGTGATAAGGCCGCAGCTCATTCCGGCTGCACAGCAAACGGATCAGGTCAGCATCACCTCGCAAAACTGCCTTGGTCAACAATTCAGTGAAAAGCCAAATCAACAACTCGGCTGAGGCGCCAACAGCATGTAAAGCTGTGCCCATGGTGTCTGGCGCACCCCCCTGTGCAAACATCCGGAACAGCTGCAAATTCAAAAACGAATAGCAATCACTTGTGCATACAAGGACAAATACCCCACGGCCAGTTGCTACTCTACCTTCGACATGCAAACCCTCACCAGCCTCACTTGACAAATGCATCACGAGCCTCGACTTTGAGTCACTGAGGCGTGGCGGTCAACATGACCAACACAACGTTTGACCGCCATACAGAACTCGTAGTGCATTCAAGCCGCATGGACTTGCAGTGCCACACAGCTCCCAAGAAGGTGAGCTTGGACTTCTGTATCTTCTGGGCAAGCACCTAGCGCAAGAGGCACTTCAAGTCGGAGTTGCGCTGACCAACTGGCTCACACTGACACATGCTCCAATACTTCCATTTGCGCCTCCTTTGATTGTTCATACTGGAAGGAGCTGTTGAACTGCTTGTTCCTGCTCAAGCCAAGTGCAAAACGGGAAACAGAACATGGCAACACCTATACAAGCAACAAAACAGGTGAGAGATTCAAGTCCAGTCCCCAAGCGCAGCTGGCAATCCAGACAGCCACAAACAGTTGTCTGACCTCGACAATTGCGGCTGGCCGAATGAATCGAACCCGTTGCTGGAGCTCTGGCCAAAGCTTGCTCAGTGTGTCATGCAGACTCAGTAATAGAAAATCGAAGGACAAGCGCCCTGAGGCCGACGCCTTGGTTTTGCACTTGGCGAAAGCCACCCTGCAGCTTACCTTCCTGAACTCTCTTTCGCACCTCGGAACTGGAAATGGTCTCTAGTTCCGTGCAGCGAGGATTTGGAAGCGGAAGCGGAACAAGTGTCTCTGAAGTCGCGGCATTTGCTAATCGCAAGCGCATTTGCACTAGTTCTTTGCATTGCGCACGCGTATCAAGTCCACTTTGGGAAGTCGCCATGAACACCCGCGTGACACATGAGGCAGGCTATGAGCGACATGTTTAGCATGGGCTTCCTGGGTGCCTCTCCCGCAAACGAGCAGGCACATTCACAGGAAGTCGCCAGAACGACCTCGATCGTCCTCAGCTCTCAGGAGTCAGAACTTCTGGCTTCAAACCGTTTCGGTGTCCGGCCTTCTGGCAACACGCTGCCTCGAGAGAACTGCGACTGGTATTCAAAGAAGATGCCACTCGCTGAGAAAGCGACCAAGAATGCACTATGCCCCATCGATTGCTCTTTTCCTCGCCAATCAGCAGTGTCACCATGTGTTCCACGTATTTCAACTTAAAAGAGAAAGCTGTCCTGCAGGTCCAGGTTGAATCTCTGCAGTCGTGGCTCCCTCTGCTTGGGCTTCCTCTGCTGCATCCTCTGCTGTTTTCTCTGCCTCCGCTGTTTTCTCCGTCTTTGCCGGCATCTTTTCTGCTTCCTTGATACCGACATCGGCACCGGCAGTATCAACTCCGGCCAGAGGCGTGTCCTGCAGCACTGACAGCTCCGAAACTCCATCAACTGCATCCGTCCTGTTCAGGCCGGCAGGTATCCAGTTGCGTCTTGAACAACTGCAGCCTTGGCTTGAGAGACATGCACCATTGGGCTATGCAAACTGCTGCAAAACAGAACCGCACAGCAGCTTCGCACTCTGTGCGAGCATCCAAAATCGAGACTGTACGAGTACGGGGGACCAGATTGGTCCACCTCAGAAAGAAAGTCTCACTCTTCCTGGGGTTTTCCACCGCCCAGTCCGAAAATGATTACTCTGACCATGTTTGGCTTGGAGTGGCCCGTTTTGGATGCAGATTGAGTTGTAAAAGAACGTGCTTTGCTTACCATGTTTTATGGGTTTGCATGACTTGCTTGTTTGAGCTGATTTTGGAAGGTTGCTTTGAAGGGGGGAGGCACCGTGCGTGCGCGGACTCCCCGGCTTGCGGGATTGGCACCTTGTGTAAGAGGTTGCTCGCGTTACTATAATATTATCACTATCAATATTATTATTATCATCAATATTAATATGACTATCATTTATCTCATCATCATGTATTATACTTTCTGACTATCTTCATCATTACGTGTGTCATCATTATTTAAACTGTCATTTTCCATACTATGTATATCCAATATATTAATAGTATGTTTTGAATTAATACTATCTCGATTGTTATTATTGTTATCATTCAACAATTGCTACTGTTTAATTGTCTTTAGTGTTTGATGTGTCTGTTTATCTGTTTATATTTTGTTGATAGCCTTTCATGAATAACATATTATGTTGTTGTTATACTTATGATTTATCAAATTTTATATTTATGGTTTGTTTTGTGTGCTTGATATAATTTGATCAAATAATCTGGCCAGCAGGTTGGTGTCACAATCCTCCATATTATTGACATCCTGGTTAATATCATAGTCAAATCCTTCAAATTCTAAAATATTCATATCATCTTCAATGTTTTGACTATTTTTGTTGTATGTAGTATTGTTATCATCATTGTTATGTATATCCTTAATGGTTGCAGTTTTAAATTGATCAATTCATTATATATTCGAAGACGATCAGTTTGAATCCCGCAAGTCGGAATTGCCAGTTCAAAAGGATAAATGGGAAGCGTGTTCTGCAAATCCTAGCTCAAAATATTGTCCTTTTCAACTAATTGTGTTGAACAATTGTCAAGTTCCTCCTGCTCAATTTCTTACTCAAAAATGGTCAGTCTCAAACGACTTCTTCTTTTTCTTTGATTTTTGTAGATTTAGAGCTCTTTCTTCAAGTTCCAGCTCGCGAATTTGTCCTGTTGAATTAAATGGTCAAAAGTGATCAGGTTGAATCGCGCTCTTCAAGATCTAGCTCGGAAGCTTTTCCGTTTTTATTTCTGACTCAACAATCATCCGACTCAAGCTAGTTCTTCCAACTCTAGCTCGTGAACTTTTTGAATGTTCGATTCAAAACTGATCAGTGACCTGAGTTCTTCATATTCTACCTTTGGAAAACATGCTGCTGGTTGCAAAATCGTGCGCGCAACATTCAGCCCTTTCGCCCTGTTCTCCAGGAATTAAATGAATATTGCAACTGGCGTGAAAGGGGCCAATCTACGAAAAGGACGTGGCATTCCAAGACCAATGTCTGTACACCCATTCTTTTACAAAGCAATCTTGAGCACCAGCCTCCCCTCCCTTACCATCGCACATATGCGTTTGTTTGCATTTGGGGGGCGTTATCTTGAATTGGTCACTGCTTTCATATCTCAACGAGCACTTCCAGCATCCACACCAACACAAAGAACATCTGCGTAGCTTGCTACCTGCTATGGTATACTAATTACATGCAGGATTTGTAGCATTCACCCGGCAAAAGAATTCGAGCCTTGTTGCAACAAGGCAAACACAACAAGCAACACCAAGAAATAAGCGAACAAAGCGAAGTTTGCGCACACCTGAGCGCTTCTTGAAGCTGCTGCCGAACCGATTCCAAAACAGCAACTAGTGACTAGTGGGTCACGGTTGCGCTGGTCGCCTGGTATGAAACACTGTTTTTTGTTATACTTCTTCTCAAGTGTTATTTTTCCCCTTATCGACTCAGCCCAACTGGGGGTGGGGTGGGGTGGGGTGGGGGGGATGATTACGTTCGGTCCCTGCGGTTCTTTTCACGGCTCGGTAGGGATGTCTACTGACCCTGGCCCAGTTGAGTCCTGAGAAGATGTACACACCAGTGGCTTGTTGAATTGTGTCAGCAAACGTCGTGCTTCTGGCAGTTATTCTGATGGTGCATTGTGTTGGCCAAAGGCAGCTCGCATCCTCAAAGTGAAGGACGTTGATCAGGTGAGCACCACAACGAAAAGAGTTCTGTAGACACGCAGATGATGTCAGAAGTTCCAAGTTGTCTCCAAGATTCATGGAACTCAATCGATTGATCGTGAATGGCAGTCATGGAAAGCTTTCTTGCCTCCGCAGCTCCACCGCAAATGTTCAATAATTCGGATGTGCGTGGTGTGTGTGTGTGTGTATGCGTTCATTTGAAACAAAGAACTTACCAATTCGTGCGGAAGCGAAGTGTGGGAACTGCTTCGCCTAATGCTTTGTTGGGGGCATTGGCGAAATTGCTGCGCAGTTAGGGGAACGAAGTAGTTTTGCATGTTGACGCCTGCCACGCTGGCAGCGAAACGAGCAAAATCCCAGCGTGTTTCACAGTGACGGCTCCGAAAACACCAGGCGACTAGCCGTGACCGACTAGTGACAAATGACTGCGCCAAAACAGTGTCAAATCAAAAGGAGCTCCAGGTCTCGATGATTTCTGGAGACACAAAAGCAAAGTCCAAGTCGTCTACCCACACTGAGGCAGGAAACCTTTCTAGGAAGCCTTGGTCTTCAAAGCCGTGGTAGCAGTTGAGCTGTTGGCATTCAGTGGAGTCCTGATCAGGAGCAATGGGTCGCTTACACTGCGATGGGACTCTGCCCTCAAGGAAAAAGCCAGGTGGGCGCCCAGGTTCCAGTGGTTCCAGTGGTTCCAGACACTCCAGTCCTTCTTTTTGTAGCATTTCAGTTCTTCGCCACCCTCTGCCTTGCCGGAGGGAGCGAAGCCCTCCTGACAGTGCGAAACGACTCGCTATGCCTCAAAACACCGTGTGCATGGATTCACTCCTGGTCTGGTTTTCCTGACACTTTTGCTGCAGTGTCCCGCATGGTGACCTTGGCAAATCAGAGATCTCTCCAGTCATACATTGCCATATCTGTTGCCACTCAGTGAGTAAGAGCACTTGGTGTCCGGCACAATCACTGGCGAGCACTTGAAAGCGTCGAATACGCATCAAATTCAGCTGTGTTTCGGCCTCCGCAAAATGCATAGCGCGCTAGCCCCCGATGAGTCCCTTGATGAACACAGCCATCTGTTGCGATTACCAAGCAGCCTTAGTCAGGGAAGGCTCCTGTCCAGCCGCTTGAGCACCGTCGCAAACAAAGGGAGCACCAGATTGCACCTGCCAAAGCCAGCTACGTCGTGTGCCTACTTTCTGTTAGGCTCACAGCGTGGAAGCCTGAAACACCAATGAAATTCCATGAGACTGACAACTTGATGATGCTCTACACAAGAGAGGCAATGCGTACCATGTTAAGCACAAACGATCAAGTCACACGCCTTGCGCACTAACAGCCCAGCATCTCTCAAAACACACCTGAAAACCGCCTTGAAGAAGAACGCACTAAAGTAATGGCCAAAGTTCGCACTACATTTCAACAGCTAGAATCAAGCCTGCGTCGCACCGCACCTCGCCTTTGCGTGGTACTCGGCGTCGATAGTTGCCTCAATACGTGCAACCACAACTACGAACTAATTATACTCTTTGACTGGCACTCTGGCACTTGGTCTCGGGCCCGGAGCTTGTCAAGCGCACTTTGCATCTTTGGGGCTTCTTCCTGGCTTCAAAATTAAACCAACGTTGCATCAAAACCTCATACTCCTTACATTGATTGCCCGATTTTGGGTTTTTGGGACTCCTACACAAAGAGTAAGACAGGGCAGAATTGAGGGTTCACGCCGGCTCGCACGAAAGTTCCAAATTGCTCAAGTGCATTTCGACTGCGAAGCCTCACCCAACAAGTGTGGCGCACGCGTTTCGAGGGTGCGCTGTCGCTGTGGTGCTGCAAACGGTGGATTGGTGCACCCTTTGCAGGCTTTGGGTGGCGGAGTGCTCTTTGGCTGCGTCCAATCGCTCTCGCTGCTGCACGAGTTCGGTGCATCGAAAGTGAGCCTTCAGCGGACTTTGGCTGCTCGATCGCTTTGGCTGTGGCACGGCGTGCATTTTGAACATCGAAAGGGACCACGGTGCAGACTTCGGCTGTTTCCAATCGCTTTGGCGGTTGCGCTATTTGCAGAGATCTTGCGCACGGTTTTACTTGGAAAGCCAGACTAGTAAAGGATACTGCGCCGAGATCTTTTCATAAGAAATCTAGCCAGAGATCCGGCCCAGACCTCCAACTGCATCCGGTGCAGAGATCCCGCGAAGAAGCTCGAAGAAACCTTTGACATACCAACCAACAACATTCTACACCGATTTCGATCAGAGATTTCCTTTCAAGATCTTCTCAGCATGTCTTTCGCAGGACCCTGTCAAAAGATCTCTGCAAGAGATCCTGCGCAAGGCCTTTCATATACAGTAGATCATCTCCAAGAACTGCACAGGGTCTTCCAACAAGCGATTCTGTGTGCAACCTACTTGCGCACAGCTCTTGCAAAACAGTCTTCTAGAGATCCTGCAAGGAGGAGATCTTGCGCTGGGCCTTCTAAGTACCTTCACAACACATCCTCTCGAGAGAGCTCCTGCCCAGGACCTCAGAGTTCCTGCGCAACACATATACAAGCGTTGAGCGTGCGTGTAGCACATGAAGCTAGTTCATCGAGGGAACGATGAAGAATTGACGTGCCTATATCGTGGTGTTCCAGCTGCACGTACTGAAAATTTGCAGGCTTCGACCCGAACAGTGGATATTTTCGAGCTGGAACTGTCAAAGTGTGCTTCGCCTGCTACGCGTGTACTCAGAAGTTTCGATTCCGACCTGGAGCTGCCAAAGCGCACACATCAGAGATGCGTATGGGAAAAAAGAGAAACACCTGTCACCGGAAGAAGAGAACGTTGAGGATCTCATTCCAGGTGGTGTCTTGGCAGTAGCAAGCTCTCAGGCTTGCTTTTTGGATGTTTGCAGTCGCGACAGTGGCCCAAGGCTATGCAGCACGCAACACGAGAGTGCAGCACCCTCCAGCACCTCAAACAGCATCTCCCCCGACACTCTGGTCTTCAAATCAGGAAGCATGTCCCCTTTCTCTATGCAAAGTCAGAACCCCTTACCTTTCTGGTGGAAAACAAGAATGGCAAGCACTGCAAGAGGCAAACATGTCGAACATCTCACATCTAAGAAGTGCAAGAACTGCAAGATCTGTTAGAGCTGCACTGCGAAAAACAACATCAAGCTGCAGGAACTTCAAGGAGCTGCACTGGTCAGGCAAACCCACTAGCCCTTCTGTCCCTTCCCTTCCTTGTACTTCAACAGCCACTCTTCTCGGTCAAACTCCTTGACGGTGCCCAAACCCGAATGAGGGTTGTCAATGTCGAACCTGAGCAATGGCATGCAAAATGTCGCGTGAGTTGGTCAGCCGAGGATTCTGCGGTGCACCATCCTTGGTCCGCATGTAGTAGTGTGGGATGACCTGAGACAGTTGCGAGACCCCGTTGCTTCGCGGGGTTCGTGAGGTTGCATGTGAGCTGAGCGTCAGACATGAATAAGCTGCGGTTCATGGCCAAGGTTAGCTTTGTCAGACTCCGTCTCAAACCTCCCAATAATCTTCTCATGGCCGCCCTCTAACTCCGTGTGCCTGCAGTGGCAAGGCTTGCGATGAGTGCCAACAAGTCCACAACAGGCCATCGATTCAGATCCCACTAAGAGTTTGACATATCCGGAGACCCACGGGCAATGCATATGCAGTCTCTTTCATCTGTGCACCTCACCATCTCTGTGCTGACACAATGGTGTGTTGTTGCAATGATTTTAGCGATTTGCGCGCTGGGTCTGAGGCTGGTCATCACCAGGGCCACTCTCGTATCGGTTTTCGGTCCATTCCTTCGAGCACTCAGCGACTTGATTCAGAATTTGTCTCAGTCAACAATTGAGCGCCACACACCCTGGAATGGGCAGCCCCATTCATAAGTGGGCGCTGAACCGTCCTCTTCTGCCTTCGTGAACCACTTATGGCAAATGCTTCTGCAGCCTGATGGCTCTGTGCCTGAATGTGCTAAGCTGAGCCAAGGCGCGATTTTCTCCTTGCCCGGATCAACCGGACCCCAATGGCCAGTGCCTGCCAAAGCATCGTGCCTAGCCTGATTCGAAGCTACAGAAATGACACGCAAACACTGGCATTCGCATGACGGAGTAAGGCCATTCTGCAACATCAACCATCTGTGTGAAAACATCACGTCCATCAGCACCAAGATATTATGTGCTATGGATTTTGTGCAGGATGTATCAAGTACAACTTCCCGTCCCAGACCTTGAACCTGATCCCATTGTTGCTCATCATGGTTTTGGCAGCAGTACTCAAAAAGGTCGCTGCATGAGCGCTCAAATGAACTTGCACCCGCATTCAGCCCCCACAGAGCCATCCTGAATCAACTCTAAAGCAATCTCCCGCAGTGGAAGCTGTTGCCAATTGGCATTACCAATATCATAAACATAATCAGCATCGTTCCAGCATACATCACATGGCTACCATTTTCCCAATTCTGAGGCGTCCACCAAACTTGGAGATTCGAGACACGCATCGAAAGCCTTCTTCACAAAGCCCATCACCACCCTTCGGCCAGCATGGCGCAATGATGAGCGATGTTCAACTGGCACGTGCTGAGCATTGCTGAGCCGACTGCATGAAAGCTTGTGGGCCTTGCGGATCGAGCAAGGTCCTCGGTGCCCAGCGCTGCAACATCATCGGCAAGGGTCAAACCGAGTGCTCGTCGTGCCACCACCTCGTGAAAACTCCCAATCGCAGCACACTTGCCACTTGCCTGGGGCCAGGCCGAGTGTGAGAGAAGTACGGCCATTCCTGAAGAAGCGTCAGCCAGTGTTGGATAGTGTTTTGGTTGCGGTTCACGTAAAATACCCTGAGACTCTGGCTTCAATAGGCTCCCAGGGCTTGAGGCCAAGGGCAGGCATCCGACCTGCTGCAAAAGCTAGCCCCAAATGCATGCACAATCGCCCCAGCCTGAGTCCGTGGGAAGCAAGGCAACTGTTCATGAAAGCATCAAGCTTCTGGCATGCTCGCTATGAGGCAACTAAGTTAATGCTGGCGCAGGTCACATTCCCTGTGCTTGGTGACTGTGCGTGCTTGGTCCAAATGGCTCAGGGAGCTGGCACAAAACTGGTCAAAGCAAAATGCACCGCAAGAAAGTCAACAGAAATCCCCGGGACCCCTTCCCCGCCAAACGGCCTTCACAAGGCAGATGTGAATCAAACAGGCCCAGAAAGTCACATGAAGACATGTACAGTAGCGTTTCAGGGTGGGTTGCGGGGCCCCAGAGACTCCCAATTCCAGCAGCTAAAGCGCCAACGGTCTCCGCGTTCCTGCCCTCCAAGGACATGTCATCCATGTGCTGCAAGTATGAGCAGTCCTGCGCTTGCCGGACTTTTCTGAAGGCAAATTGCAATGTGGAAGGTTGACAAAGTACTTTGCTTGTTCTTCTTATGGGGCAAACATGCAAGAATTATGGCAATGAGTTGCAATGGGCTGCGATGGGTTGCAATGGATTTCAATGCATCTCAGTGTCAAGCGAGGCGCAGTCAACCTGCTCAGAAGGTGCTTCAAAATTGTTGATTGTGCTGCGGTTTCCGTGCCGTTGACAAAAGGACTTCTGCGGTGTTGGTTCAGTGAATTAAGAGCGTTCAGTGAATTAAGAGCGGTATATAAACGAAAATTCTGCGCAGAAACCTCGTGCTGACCACGGCAGCAAGAGGTTGGGTGTGATATCCAATGTTCTACGATGTACGGCCGTTGAGACTGCTGAATCAGGGCACCCTACAGGACGGAGATGCACTTTTTCAGCTCGCGCCAATTGCACTTTTCTGAGCAATGAGATCGGTTTAATCAAGATCGATGCGCTGTCAGTCACCCACGGGTTCGGAGCTCACAGGGGGAAAAGAATTCTTCAAATTTGAGCATAGGACCCACTTGCTTGGCAAAAGCCCGCTAAGCACCAGCTCCACAAGCAGTCTCCAAATAGGGACATCTTTGGCGAGAATGAAAGAATGAACGAGTAAACGAATGAACGAATGAAGCAACAAACGAAGGAACAACGAAGCAAACGAACAAAGAAACGAACAAAGAAACGAATGAATGAACGAATAGACAAATGAATAAATGAATAAAAATACAGAAATGAATAAATAAATGAATGAATGAATGAATGAATGAATGAATGAATGAATGAATGAATGAACGACTGAATGAATAAACGACTGAATGAATCAACGAACAAATGAAAAAAATACCAAATGAATAAATGAATAAACAAATCAAGGAATGAATGCATGAATGAATGAATGAATGAATGAATGAATGCATGAATGAATGAACGACTGAATGAATAAACGACTGAATCAATCAACAAACAAATGAAAGAAAGACCAAATGAATAAATGAATAAACAAATAAAGGAATGAATTAATGAATGAATCAATGAATGAATGAATAAATGAATCAATGAATCAATGAATCAATGAATCAATGAAAGAATGAATGCATGAATGCATGAATGCATGAATGAATGAATGAATGAATGAATGAATGAATGAATGCATGAATGAATGAACGACTGAATGAATGAAAATGAATGAAAACAAATAAAGGAACGAATTAATGAATGAATGAATGAATCAATGAATGAATGAATGAATCAATGAATGAATGAATGAATGAATGAATGAATGAATGAATGAATGAATGAATGAATGAATGAATGAATGAATCAATGAATGAATGAATGAATGAATGAATGAATGAATGAAGGATGAATCAATGAATCAATGAATGAATGGAATGAAATGGAATGAAATGGAATGAAATGGAATGAAATGGAATGAAATGGAATGAAATGGAATGAAATGGAATGAAATGAAATGAAATGACATGAAATGAACAAATGAATGAATCAATGAATCAATGAGTCAATGAACCGATAAATTGATACATGAATCAAATGGAATAGAATGGAATGGAATAAACTTCAGGGAATGGCATATGGAACAAAATGCAATCAAATGAAATGCGATGAAATGAAATGAAATGAAATGACATCCGATGAAATGAAAGACGATGAAATGAAAAGGAATGGAATTGAATGGAACGAATTAGTTCATGAACGAATATATTCTTAAAATGAGTGAGTAAATGAAGGAATGAATGAACGAATCACCGAATCAATGAATCCACGAATAGGTGAGTGAAGGAATGCGTCAATATGCATGCATAGATGGATGGACGGATGCGTAGATGAATGAACGAATAAACGAGTGAAAAGTGAACGAAAACACAGAGAGCGAATGATCGAATGAACAAATGAACGAGAACGAACGAAGAAACGAATGAACGAATGAATGAATGAACGAATGAGTGAGTGAGTGAGTCAGTGAGTGAGTGAGTGAATGAATTCACGAATGACTGAATGACTGAATAACTAAATGAATCAAAAAAGATGTGGACGGATGAACCACTAGATGCATCGACGCATGCACAGCGTGCACGGTTGCACGAATGAGCGAATAGATGAATGAATGAGTGAAGGAATGAAGGAATGAACGAATAAATGAAAGGAAAAACAAAACGAATGAATGAATAAATGAATGAAAGAAAGAAAGAAAGAATGAATCAATAAATGAATGAATGCATGAAATAATGAATGAATGGATGAACGGATGAATGACTGAATGAATGAACGACTGAATCAATCAATGAACAAATGAAAGAATGAACAAATGAATAAATGAATGGAATGAATCAACGAATCAATGAATGAAAAGGACATGAAATGAAATGACATGACATGAAATGACATGAAATGACATGCAATGACATGCAATGCAATGCAATGCAATGCAATGCAATGCAATGCAATGCAATGCAATGCAATGCAATGCAATGCAATGCAATGCAATGCAATGCAATGAAATGAAAGAATATATGAAAAGGAAATGAAATGACATGACATGACATGAAATGACATGAAATGACATGCAATGCAATGCAATGAAATGAATGAATAAATGATTGATTGATGAATTGAATGAATGAATGAATGAACGAACGAACGAATGAATGAATGAATGAATGAATGAGTGCATGCGTGAGTCGACAAGTCAACAAATCAATGAACCGATGAAGCAACAAATCAATGACTCAATGAATCAACGAATCGAGGATTTAACGAACCAAGGAGTCAACGTCCAATGTGTCAAAAGATGCTGGAAATGCAAAACGAAATAGAGGTATATACAACAAATGGAACTGTAAATGTTCTTGTGTGCCTATCGGGCTCAAAATACGTAACAAGAATAATACAATGAATATTAATAACGTGTCCACAATATAGCAATATGGTTTGGTAGACATGTCCCTCCATTGAATAATGGTGATAACGAAACATAGAACACTTCTAGGGAAATGACGAACAAACATACTGAAAAATATACAGTTTAGTCTCAAAATGTGAAAACTATTTTGTTCGATATTAAGACATATCATGAAATTTGTAGATAAATTGCTTGTGAACAATGATGAAATCATGGAACCGAAACAAGAAATGGAAATATTCAAAGGGTTGAACTTGAAACCAACAAACAACAACACAAATCAAAGCAATGAACACAGGTGAATATAAGAACAAACGAAATGTACCTGGACCTTCCATTGTTGCATAAATGTGTGTGTGTGTGTCACGAAAGAAAAATGCTCGGGCCAACTATTTTCGCCCACTGATCCAAAAAGAGCTCGTTTCCCAAAAAACGTTCGTTTCATGAACACGGGCTTCTTGCAAAATACAAATTGTTACATTATTTGGATTTGCGCTCGTTTTGCGGGTATTTGCGCTCGTTTTGTGGGTATGTATTTGCGCCCGTTTTGCGGGTATGTTTCCGCATGTTTCCACGCAACAGACTATATGAGAACAGAAAAGCCGCCGCAATAGCCAAACATGCTCGGATCCAAATTTGCGCCCGTTCCCCCGAAAAACGCCCGACTAGCAAATTGATGCTACGAAACAATCAGGGGACACAAATTTATGTAACGAAGGAAGGTCCAGGTATATTTGAAAAAACGTAATGATGGCACCGGCGCGTATGGATGCACAAACAAGGCTAAGATATGCTGGATTGTCTATTGCCGAGCTATCCGACGTGTGTTTAGTAAATGACATTGTGTTTGTTCATTTTGTAAAGCACACATCTGACAATGGCAAGAACCGAACCGCTCTCCTTTTGCATCTTCAGCTGCATTTGAAGAAGGTTTGCTTGCCGAACTCGGTCGAGGGCCTTGCATGTTTTTCCAGCGAACTGCTTTGGGAATGTTGCCAGCCTCAAAGACCTCCTCAGAGCCCAAGTGCTGAAAGTAGGGCAGGTTTCGGTAGCTCTGACTCTTCTCCTGTGCTCAGCGCTTGGCCGGCAAGCGCACTGCCACAGCTGGAGGCCTGCCGCTGCTTCCGCATTTGATCAATAAGGTCGCCAACGAAGAGTTCATGCTCGGTTGCCAAGAGAGTTGGCCTGACATTCAAGACTCAGAGCAACTCAATGCAGCTCAAGCTGAGGAGAGCACGATGGAGACTCCATTGCATGCCCCTGCCAGCCCAAACTGCTAAACCTGGCGCTCCCAAATCCGCGTCTAATTTCCTTGGGCCAAGGTGGCAGCTGATGGCGGCCATGGACAGAAGTATACTCAAAAAAAATGAAGCCTTGACTCGCAGAGCAAGGCTCTCTGTTTCTCTTGACAGCCTAGAGCTGCTCCGACCACCTCCTAGCGCATTTCGCAGCATTGGCGAAAAACGCTCGCTTTGGAACGGAGGTGAAGGCTGGGCCGGAAAGTGCGTTTTGCATGACTAGTTCGGCACAAATCATATCTTGCAAGCCAATGGAAGATCTCACGCGCGTTGCCATCGGATGAATGTACAAAGTTCCAAAGTTCCACGAGCTGATACAACGTTTGGACATGTCGCGGCTATCCGAGTCCACGGGCCGAGGTGACCCAGCTCAGGGCCGAGGCTCAGTGCGTGCTTTGCCCTGCTCAGATCGGCGTCAGCAAGGGCGCTGTGTCCGCACTCTCCCTCGCGATCAAGTCTGTCTCACGGTCAGGAAACCTTCCCGGGCATTGATCTTTCCGGGGTGACAACCAACAAATGTGTCTCCCCATCGTGGTCAAAAGGACAATTACTCAACAGCTCCGCACCTGAAAGTGGATATCCAACTTCGAGCTGCAAGCAGGAGACTTAAGCCTGAGTCATGATGCTTGTCCAAAAGGCCGGGCGAACCAGCAAAAAGCAATCCTAAGCAACACACTGATAAATCCACCTGCAAAGGAAAGCAGCAAGTCCGCGAAGTGATTGGATTCCAGCTCCTGACACGCCAAATCCTTCCTGCCTCCTACGCTCTCCCATGCGGCATGAGCTGTCTTAGCTGCAGCTGCGAAAACTGCCAAACCTCCCGGCGTCTGTAACCTGTCTTGAACCTCGTCTTCTGCATGAGGCTCGGAACTACCTCAAGTGTGGGTCCCATTTTTTCTTCATGTTGGTCCTAGTCAAGTGTGGGGCCGCTTGGGCCAGTTTCAGCCCACTCTCGCTTAGTTTGGTCGTAATTGATGAATATGATGAATGATTTTGGTCCAAATCATATCTACGCAGGCAGCTGGCTCTTAGCACGACCGCTTCCGGGTCACGCCAAAAAATAGGACCGCGAGGCGAACATTCGGACCGAAAGGAGAAGCTGCCGATTTCAATAACCACAACCGAACAAGCAAAAACTAGGGACGCAAGGAGAAAAGCATTGGACCCAAACAATGCCGCACCCTCTCAAGTTGATGCCTCAACTGCCTCAACTGCCTCAAAATAGCTTTGACTCAGCTTCCTGAGAAACTCTAGTACGGTACCACCAATTCTTGTGCCGATTTGCCTCATCGTCAAATGCCTCCGCTTGAAACGACCGATGTCAGGTAGCACCAAGTACTGCCTTCAACTGCCACTCATCAGCCCTACGAAAACATTCAACTAATGTGTCTCATCTGCCAGCACGCTGCAATGCCGCTCCTGGGACCTTTCGTACAGGGCAAAGGCTCCCGTGGCCTCGATAGCAAGGAACTAAAGGATATCAGGAACCAATCCAAGGTCGTGGCCGCACTGAAATTATTGACCTGTCGGGAGCACACAAAAAATTGTGCCCAAGTGAGCACAAGCTTGAGGCACTAGGCCATGCACCTTGTGGACCTCCAAGCCGTTGTACATCTGGCAATTTTGCGGATGGAGCGAATCTGAAATTGCACCGTCTCCAAGTTGCAAAAACATATTTAACCCTGAAAAACAAGTACTTGTGTGACTCCCAGAATGTCATCCTGCGTTTCTTTGAGTGTAATGTCAGGCCTGCCAAGGTGCCAAAGTTGGTGCAATCGGTGCAGGAGTCGGCACAGGAGTCGGTAAAGCTATTACAGGTGGCAATGTCGGCAGCACTGGAGCGGCGACGAACTCCTGCACTGGACGATCCACAAATCACACGTCAGCACAGCATCACTTGAGGGTCCTGAGAGAGCAATGCTTGTTAAGAGGCTGATGGGTTGTATGTCATACCAGGCAAGACAATTGTACCCTTTTGCTTGTGTATCTACAGAGTATACATCTTTGTTCAATTAGTTTAATTAGCTGCCCTCAGGCAGTCCACTGTCTTGGGCTATGTAGCAGTTTTCCCCCCTTGAGGCCATATGGAAACGCGCTAACATGCAACCACCATATATCTTGGAAACCAACTCACGCATTTCGGTGCCGACTCACTCACTGAAACAAACACAATGCTGCAAGGCAAACCAAACGCAGTACCTCAAAGCCACCAAAAGAGCACTAGCTGAATTAGCTGCTCTCAAAAACAAGTTGAACTAGTTTGACTAATTGCTTGCTTGAATTTAGTAAATCAGTGTCCATGTACTTTTGCCTTGCAAACTCATTTAATGAAGTTGGCTGTCAACTTAAGACCTTCCAATAAGCTGAGCAAGAGAGTGCCTTGAGGACTTCATCAACAACTCAAACCGGTACTGGCCTATGTTCTCGTAAACGTGTTCCTGGGCTTTTCCTTCTTCTGGACCTAGGCCCCCGCACCTTTCAACTAGTTGAATCAGTTCAAGTAGCCTGGAAGATCTGTCCCAAGCCCCCTCCGGTAATCTTGGAACTTGGATCCAATTCTAAGCCCCACATCCAGGACTAGCATTGATTGACGAGACATTGACAAATGGCAAATCTAAGTCCCAGGATTTAGAGTTCCTCACTCCCCAAGATTTAGAATTGATGAGGAAACGGTCGGAGTAAGTAAATGCATCCACATGTCCCAGCTGGTCCTGAATTGTAGTCGTACTGGCAGTAGTGGTGATGAGCTGTTCTGCACCTGGTTCTGGCCTGACGCGTTTACTTGCCAAATGCAACAAGCACCAAACTACATGAGAATGCCACGGTAGCTCTTCCCCATTCTCTGTCAGGTGCAAATAGCGGCGGCGACGTCTCTTTCCACCTTGCAAATTGCACCTAGCTATCAGCCAAACATCAAAGGCTATCAGCCTCGACCACAAGTCTTGCTGCAGGGGCCCCAATCCTGTCACTTGCACAACTCATCAAACAGGCTTTCTGCAACTCAAAATCAGGCCTCCCAAGTGGCCCATGTGCAAAAGAGATTACCTGACAGCAGTCCAAAGATCAAGTATCCATCTCGCCACATTGAGTGCGCGGCCACGGCACATGCGCGGACATTTGCCAACCTGCGCCACAGCGCCACGACATGTTCTGATCACACGAGTGTGAGCGCAAAGACCTCCCTGACGCTCATCTGATCACACGGCTTGCCACCATCCGAGGCATACCCTGGCAGGCAATCACACGGACTCACAAAATAAGGCCCCTTTCCCCCCCAAGTGTCATGAGTGCACCAATCTCAGCGCTGGGCGCAATATGTTGCGGAAGCGTGTCCTCTCACCATCACACCTGCTACCTGCAGAGTTGTTGCCCTTTCTGCGGAGTTTGCACCAAAAAGAACCAAGTCCCGGGCACAAGCCCCATTCTTGCCATTGCCCGACTTCGCAATCTACTGGTAAATTCCCACCACTGCAGAGGTGACGGTTCTTGGCCAAGGAGGGAGAATCAAAACAGTGGCGCATCGCTCATGCAAAGCATACAACGCCGCTCCGAGGCAGCCGCGCATTCCTGCACTTCTGAGAGGGCTGCCAAGCACCCCCTTCCACCATGCGATGCGCCTATGCTACAGGCCAAAAGGGAAAGATTTGTGCCGGTTGCTCAAGCTCAACTTCTCCAAGTGTCCAACGTTGCGCAACAACCCGAGTTCGTCTCTGCACGCCACCGTCACATTCTGCCGTGCACCTCACGAAAGCCGTTCAGAATCAGACAAACAACTGCCAGTCAGATAGCGCCTGCTCCACCCTGTCCACCTTGGTAGACATAGTTGAACGCAAACTCAAAAAAACGTGGTTTGTCAGCACTATAACTTCAGAGCTTACCCCAACTTGTCTTGAAATTGAATGCGGCAATGACTGTCTTGGCGTGTCACTGCGAGTAAGGCTCGTATGGATATATACATATTTTTAAATATACAATTATAAATATACAAATATATATATATATGTATACGGCACCCCCCCGCCCAGGGACATACCTTTTGAAGAATTCACTGGTATTAGCTACCCTTTTTTCGGCTTTGGGTAAAGCAATGAAAAAACCGCATGTCCAAGCACATTCTGGAAGCTTCAAGCTCGATTTAAACCGATTGAATTCTAAATCTGGCCTGGACTCAAGATTCACAATCACACTTGCGTCAAGACTGTCGCAATGCTCTCTGTTTTCACACCAGCAGACGTGGAATCGCCGATGCGAACACCAATCAAATGGCTCAAGCTTGTCCAACCATCTTCTCAGGAAAGGAAATCACTCTCGTCAAGATGCCAAGGGCTTCGCTATCATCAGGTCATGTCACCAATTCAATTGATCGCACAAGCCCCATTTAGAGCACATCCCCACGCCGCGGAAACCTTGCCATCTGAAGCGTTTTCCAACCGAACTTCGCGCCACACTCAAGATCAGCTCAAGATGAGGGATCAGCTGGGTTTGCGTCCGTTGACATTCTGTCCTGTACCTGCAAACTTGGAGGCCCAACGCTTCGCGCCAGAAAACAGCAATGAAATCACACATGCCTTCCAAAGCTGAATAGCCTTTCACAAGTGCTCCCAACGCAGACTCGGAATCCACAAAGGCAGGATGAGCTTATCTTGCAGGAAGTCCCGGAAAGCCCTGAGCGCAGCAACGGTGGCAAAAGTTCCACCAAAGCAATCTGATTCTTCCTGGCAATCCACTCATCCGTGACTTCCTGCGGCGCTGCAGACCCAAACTGCATAGGGGCCTGCGGTCAGGCTTGAGAAGCAACACCCCGCTTGCCAGGTCATAGGTGACACCTATCATTGTGGGAGAAGTAGACTGCTGCAACTTCTTCGGGTCAATAGCAGAAACGGCAGTGGCCTCTGGCTCAAAGCCGTACTTGTCATCGTAGAAGTTGAAAGCAACCACCAGGATCAGCCACCTCAAAAAGTCAGTGATGGCAGCACTGCGCCGATTGTAGTTGTACACAACGCGAGATACCAATCATGACAAAATATGCTTGGCGCCCGCTGTCAGGCTCCTTCGTGGATACTACGGAATACCTCCGACGCTCAGGTCGAAGAGCACTCTGGCGATAGGCTTTGCACTCGTCCAGCACCCAGTAACAGCGCAACCCCGAGCGCGGAGCCAGCGAATGACGCCATGTTGCAATCTGTCAAGGGCAGCTCCAGCTTTTCAACAACTTCAAAAGCAAAGTTGATACCATTGGCTGTCGCGCTGTCCACCCCTCGAATTTTGCTCCGCTGAACAACTTCAAATCTTTGGGTTGGAACCCAGCACGGTGAGCCAATAAGGCGGCTAACTTCGCCCGGCTCGAAGAACGGCCCCACTGCGGAGCCCTCCTGCTGGTGTTCACTGTCACCTGCGTCCGCGCAATGCAGGAAATAACCTTGGAAGCCTTCTACGCAGATCGTCCAAGGGCGCTCGCATGTCAAAGGCGGCCAGCGGGACGATGGACACATGGGTCCCACCACAGACAAACCCGTTAGCAACTTGTTTGCCAAGTTGGAAGCCAGAGCCATTTCCTTCCATAGCGCCACACGCGTGCAAGCGCCAATGGGCATCAGAGACAGCGCTGAGGATAAGATCAGTTTGTGGCAGTAACACTTCGGCGCGAGTTCTCCAATAGCCAAAAACTGAGGGCATCCGCACGAAACACATTGGTCTCAAGCGGCAAGTTCACGCAAACGGACCAGATGAAAAGAGGGGTTGCGCCGCGCCTGTTCACCAAGGAACTGGAACTTGGTCCCTTTCCTTCGTTCATCCCTTTACTGTTGATCCGGAGATTGTTCCTGACTTGCAGCAAGGCTCCCCGCACGCCGATTGACGGTGTTCGGTCGAAGGAACACCCATGCCCAATGGCCGTTTTCTCTCTGCGCGAATCATGCTGTGTGGGGCTGAATTCGGATCTGCAACGCCATTCAGCTTTTACCGGGCTTCAACCTGCGTCAGGCTGGCAAAATGGCTGGTTTGTCTCAGAGAGCGCACATGATGGAACACTTGCAAGTCTGGACGTGGCAATGCAATGAGCTGTTGTAGAAGCGGCACTTCTGCCGCTGCCCAGGGTTCTTCTTGATGATCGCCAAAAGCTCCTGGTACTCCTCGGCTGGAATACGCTTGTCCAGAGGCGGTGCTACTGCGGGCGTTGCACCTGGACTGCTCCGCGGCTGTCACTTCTCAAATTGGGCCAGAGTTGCTTTGGTTCTGGCGTCGTTCCACAAAAATAATTGTGGTTGTTCAGAACTTCGACAAGAGCTTGCTAATAAGAGCGGAAGTCGTCTCGCCGTTCAGACAGCAGCCTGAACACCTTTTTGCAGACAAGGGAATCGGCAACAAGAAAGGCAAACCAGGATGCTCGGCTCGAAATCTGCAAATACTGCCTTCCTAGCCAGGGATTGCGAAAGCAGGCGCGCAAGCCGCGAGACAACTTCCAAAAGGCCATTTCGTGAGCAAGGAAATCGCACGGCGCCACAGCGAGAGCACTTCGACGCGCACGATCTCCGCAGAGGGTTCGCAGAGACCAAGACGAATTCGCACGGCGCCAGCGAGAGGGCGTCGACGCGCACGATCTCCGCAGAGGGTTCATGCGCGCGCCGCAGGGAAGATGGCCTTGCGGCAGATCTTTGGAAGGCTCGGTCTCCGTGAAGGCTTAGGCAAAGCTTCCGCGAATGCCGGCTTGCTGTCAGTGGGAGGTGTTTGCCATGCTGGGTGACACTGCCAGCGAAGTCAAAACACAGCTGCGCTTTGTTCTGAGTGGTGATGAGTTGGGAGCGACAGATCAAGAAAAGAGGCTGTGGGTCATGCAGCTGGCAGCGGTGTGGCAGGCGTGCCAGGCGTTGCAGACACAAATTGCAGCGCGGCGCACCCAAATGAAGGAGGACCCCGCAAAAAAAATCCAGAGAACGAGGACCACTCCAAGTTCCGATCACGGTTCGCGCGACTGCGCCCAGATTGGCAAAGAGCCGCACGTTTTGTTGAGAGGTTGAACAGGGATTTCCTCGTGAATGGCTTGGTTCCTTTCTACAGTGCCTCTGAAATCAAGACCAGCTGACAGTATTCTCTCCAAAGCGGGCTTGTCCAGAAATGCTGAAGATTTGCTGGTAGTGGCGAAGGCCGAGGAGCCGCAGCCAGTCACTGACTCGGCTTGCCGTCTCAACAAGCTCCATGCCTTCTTCATGGGTTCGGTTCCCCCCTGGTCCGCGGCAGCCCCAGCTGGAAAATTGCAACTTTTACGTATGAAAGTAGTAGGCGAAGTACACTTTCGCACCAGCTGCAAAATCGTAACTTTTAAGTATGAAAGTAGTACGCGAAGTAAACTTTTGCAGCTCCGGCGCAGCTTTTGAGCGCGAACTACACTTTCGCAGCTCCCGCTGGAAAATCACAACTTTTCAGTACCAAAGTAGCACGGCATCAAGCAGCCGTCCTTCATGCTGCTTGGCACTCTTAGTTGGCAGCATGGAGCTTGGCAGTTTGGGGTGTCCAAGGCAAGTGGGCAAGTGGGTCTTGGACCGCATGGTTGTTCGAGCATGGTCCGCCACGGGGGCGCGTGACGTGACGGTGACGGTGACGGTGACGTGACGGCGACGTGCCGTGACGCTGCCGACTGCCCCCGTCCCCAACGACGAGGCGACGGCGACGTGACGTGACGGTGACGGTGCCGTGACGCTGCCGACTGCCCCCGTCCCCAACGACGAGGCGACGGCGACGTGACGTGACGGTGACGGTGACGGTGACGCTGCCGACTGCCCCCGTCCCCAACGACGACGCGACGGTGCCGTGACGTGACGACGACGCGACGGCGACGGCGACGTGACGGTGACGTGACGTTGACGTGACGCTGCCGACTGCCCCCGTCCCCAACGACGGCGTGACGGTGACGTGACGGTGACGGTGACGTGACGCTGCGCAGCCGCCCTCCTCGAGGCGCAAGTGCGACGTGACGAGGACGTGACGTGACGGGACGCTGCCGCCGCCCCCTAGGCGCGACGGCGAGGTGACGGTGACGGAGGTCGGCCGGCATGATACTACAGCAGCGTGGCTTCCTTGCCCGCAGGCAACCCAAAAGCCGCACTCCACGAGGATTCCTCGCTGCAGCATGAAGCTCAATGCAAGCATGTCCGTGACCATTCGTCGCTGTAAAGCGAAGCTCAACGGACGGACAAACAAACGAGCGAACAACGAACGAACGCACGAACCGAACAAGAAAACGAAGAAGCAAGCAAACCAACCAACAAGCAAGCGAGTGAACGAACGAACAAACAAACAGGTCATCACGCCATGAGGCGCTTGGTGATTTTCAAGCTCACCCTTCTTGATTTCAACGCACCTGCCAATGATTTCAGCTTTTCTGACTGAAAAACTCTGGTTTTAGCATTCCCCCAAACTAATGTTTGGTTCAGAGAAAACACCGGTCATTTGACATCATCTCCATTTGGGCTCAGTTTGGGTTCTGCACTGCAAACATGGAGCAAGTCAAATCACGCAAATCACACCACGTCTGGGGCCCCTTTTTTGGTAGCTACGCATCTTCGCGAGCTGGTTGGTTGGCATCTACTCGATGCTCTCAGCCTCACTTCGAAAACTCGCCATCTGAGACAGTCGACGGGCATCTACTTGATGGTCTCAGCCTTACCTCGAAAACTTGTGATCTGAGAAAGCGTGTAGCTGCCATGAAGCGCCCATATAGAGCTTCTGTTTTCTTTGAACATGTTTGACTGCACGTCGTCTTCTCTGGCACAAATTCTGACTTCGGCAGACACATGCACCTTTCTGAAACGGC